AAGGCAACTTTACTTGGAACAGCTTACATCCTGCGACAATACCTTTAACACCATCAAACAATAACATCTGCCTATCCCAGGTCCTTGGGAATGACTTGATAGGTGGATAAAAATGCCAAATCCAATCTAAACATCTGGCTGACTAGGTGACCAACAACAATAATAATAAGCTTAAGAGATTTAGAGGACTTGTAGAATGTTTATGATATACTTTAAGAGATACTTCTGAACATTTTGGAAGTCCCTTGAAAGGGAATGGGAACAGGTTGTTGATAGTCCCTAAAATAAGAGAAAACAATATATTGACCCTAACAACATTGTATATACATTAAATTACTAATGTCAGTTTTTGAAAATGTGGCCATTTGAAAGCTGAACAGGTGACTTCTTGATGAATTCCTGAACTTTTTAAGAGAAATTTGGATATCCCAACATTTTTTCAACACCTTGGCAAACAAGGAGAGACATGAATACATCTGGGATATCTTTCAAAATGTAAGTCAAGTGCACACACACCTGCTTCTGTCACACATGACAAAGCACGGGTGTTCAGTAGGACAAATAGCAAGTTAGGGATGATTTTCATTGAGGCAAGCAGATAGAAAAGAAAGTCTCAGACTCCAGTCCTAACTGGATTTGTCCACCCTTCTTAGGTGCTGTTAATTTTTTTAAAAAAATAACAGAATGATTAATCATTTTAATCATGGCAACCTCTTTAAAATCAGTAGTGAAATTATCAAGAAATATTGGACTGTTCTTGCACCTACATAAATGTGTATTCTGAATTATTATTTGCTATTTATCACTTTATCTGATGATGTATTCTATATCATGCATTTTAATGTTAATGATATATGTTTCATAATTATAATTTAAACCACTTTAGAATAAACTTGACTCTTGCTAAAAAAAAAATCAAAATTTGTTTCTTCCTAGGAGAAGTTTGCAACAAAATTACAAATAGAAACTAAGTATAATCTGAGATAGAGAAAATCATGTAGCACTGTCTAGCAGCTGTGGCAAATATGGTTAAGCCAATTTATATTATGGCTCTGCCTTAATCAGAAAATAAGTAAATTGTTTGACTACTAAGCAAATTTAGTCTCCTTTTAAAACAAGTGAATAATAGTTGGTAAAACCATATTTTTGTAAGCTGTATATACTTCTCCCTGGAAGCTGTTTTTCTTAATCTGCATTGTTTTTCTCAATTGGTTTTTCTTTCAGGCAGTATTTACTCTTCTCTTGGGTCCATTCACCTTTTTTAATGTGCAGAAAACTAAGTATCTTCAGATCATAACATCACTAATGAGGTGGTTAGGTAAGTCTACAAGTCAGTGCTATTTTATGTCCTTATTTCCATATATATGCCCACTATGGGTTGTGTGCAATGTTATTTGAATAGCCTTTCACTTGACCAATAGAATTTCCCTTTACTCCTCCATATGTGCCCCACATCTATTTTGGAATATCCCCAACCCTCTTGGTTGGATTTGGCTAGCTGTGGGAAGATAGGGGGAGAAAGAATACCTTTCTCTATTGTTTCAATATTTATGTGATTGCTTTGCTTTAATTTTTATGCAGTTGTGATGATGGCTTAATGGGTACTATGGGATGCAACATAGAAATCCTCCTTTGACCAGGGCATAATTCTTAACTACTTATCATGAATCCCTCTGTTTTTAAGCACTGTATTTTTCCGACTATAAGACGATACTTTTTTCTAAAATCCTTACGCTAAAAATTGAAGGGCGTCTTATTCAAGGAAGTCAGCCGAGGAGAAAACCGT